TCGCTGCCGCCGCCCCCGGGCCCCGCCTGGGCCGCCGCCTCCTGTCCGGCGCCGCCACCCATGGGGTGCCGGCCCCCAACCAGCAGCCCGAGGTCTTCTACAATCAGGTGAGGCCGCCGGCTTGGCCCGGTTCCGCCGGCGCTTGGTTCTTTCCAGGGTACGGAGCCCGCTGGGTGCGAAGGCCCTGGGCCTCTCCGTGCCTCAGTTTACTCAGCTGGGGCTCGAGGGGTTTAGCTGCCGTTGGTATTTGCGCACATCTTCTCTTCCTCCCCTGCCAGCATTTCGGCCCCTTCGCCGCCTTTGGCAGACCCCATTCCATTATCCAGCTGCCACTTTGGTCATTTATGGGTTTTCGTCCGTCCGCGCGGCCGCGGCACCAGCTCTCGGGGTTCCATTCTCCCCCACATCGTCCTCGGCTTTCAGGCCTCTTAGTTGCCCCTGTGTCAGCGTAGCGCCTTCACCGTCACCCACCCAAAGGACGTCTTTGCAAGTCCCGCTTTGCAGGAGTTCCAGGCTTTTCTTTGGTAGTCTCTTTTACTCCTCGACTCGCGCCCGTGTCCGAGGCATCCCGAAAAGGAAAAACAAAGACAACAAAAGGCGTTCTCAGTTCCAAGTTCACCAGTTCGCTGAGGGCAAAAGGCGTTCTCAGTTCAAAGTTCACCACGCCGCTTCCACTGCTGGGAATTGGGAAAGGGTGGGGAACCTTCGCATCCCCCCAATCCCCCAGCGGTGCCGGCCTTCCCAGGAGCTGGGTCTCTCTGACCAAACCAAGGAGGGTCCGAGTCTTTCCAGGATAACCCTGATGCCCAGCGGCTGATTTCTTCTTCAGTCGAGACTTTGCAGTGTCCTCTCTTTCCATCTTTGGGTGTGGGTCAAGTACTGGAATTCGGAGAGGGAAGTGGTTATGAAAGTGTTTTGTTTGTGCAACAAGTATGGATGCTGCCTTTCTCTGAGCTTCATGTTCTTCTGTGAAGTGGGGAGCCGGGCTAGACGGCCATGCCCTTTGTCACACAGGATCTTATGCACTCCTGTGGGCGCTGAGAGAAATAACAGCTCCTAGTTCTGTGCAGGAACTTGGAACCGTTCTAAGCATTTACCTGTTTTGCTGTTTAATCCTTTACAGTAGCCTCGTGGGTACTGTGATTATCTACGTCCATTTTACAGATGAAGAGACTGAGTTACAGAGGTTTAGTGACCTGCCTAAAGACCGAAGTCAGTGACCAAGTTGTGGATCATATCTGGAGTCCCAGGAGGAAGCCCCTAAGCAGACCATTCCGTGGTGCTATGGATGCAACTCTGGGTCACTGCTGACAGGGTACTGGAGAAGGGGCCCCCAGGGGACGACTTTCAACAGTGCACCTGCTTGTCTGGCCCAGAGTTGGGCTGCAAATCTGCACACAGGTGATGGGTAAAGGCAGATCGATGTGATTTTAAAGAATGTTCCCATGGTCATTTTCAAGAGCAGAACAAAAGATAAAACCTGCTTTGTATAACACAAGCCAAAAGCGCAGTAACTGTTGTTCCCTCTGTAGGCTGCTTAATGAGGAGTTCATGCTTCACAGATTGGAACATCAAAAAGATCAAGCAGAAATATCCTCGAGGGAAAAGGGTTGACACCACCAGCCTTTGTGGCCACAGGATCTAATTAAGATCTTTCTCTTTGGTGCTCACATGGTGGTCTGAATGTACACACAGGCCTGTTCTCCAAATTGAGTCCTGGAATACAGGTTGCAATGTTAAGTTGTGGGAGCAGAGTGAATTCTTCCTACAGCTGTTTTTCTTTAGCAGATATTTGGAGATCATAAAAGTAACAAGTACTCATGATATAAAAATGCAGGGAGTACTGTAAAATTTCCCACATACCTGCTGCATGCCCTTCAAGAGCACTGTTAGCAGGTGGGTGTGTGATCTTGCAGACATTTTTCTGCATTGGTGAGTGGGTGTGTATGTGAGAGTGAGTGAGATCCTGGCACTTACTGTTCTGAAGCTTTGTCTCAATGAACAAAGTATCTGCATTATCTTTCTCAGCTGGTACTTTTCCCTCTTATTTATTCTTCCCAAGGATGGCAGAGCCTTCTACCATGCTAGGACCAACTCCTCTTCGAGCTCCTTTGACTGTTTCCAGTGTCCTTTTGTCGCACATCCTGCTGGCAAGAATGCCAAGGCTGTTGGCTGGGTTTTCACAAGAATGCCGCTGAGGACCCTTGGGGGGGTTTGGGCTTTGAGGGGATGTTGCACTTCAAGCTCGTTGTGTCTCACCTGACTGGGGGCGGGTAGGCACAGGCAGTAGGTCTTCTGCTTCCCACTTCTATCTCTCAACCCGAAAGAAGTCGAGCGGGGTGGTTTGGTCCACCTTCCTGCGGTTCTCTCACTTCTGCTTGGCCTGGGTGGGGCCACAGGGTGGGGTAAACTTGGTTGGATTAGGGAGATTTCAGGCACCGGGAGCTGATGATGGCCAGGCTTCCAGGAGACCAACATGTCTCATCCTGTGTGGGTTTCAGGGACATACTTCTGTTAAGGAAACTGATTTTCATTTTTCATTCTTTTCTTCTACCCTGGCTTAAGAGAGTCATTAACATCTGGAAAGACAACTCGGGGGAAAACTCAAGGGACTGGTTTCAGCAAAGGAATCCCTTTGTGTGGGATCTCTTTTTGTGTGGCTACTACTTTCGACTTCAGCATCACCAATTCATGCTGGCGGGTGTAATAATGAAGACGAGAATACTGTTAGATACCATTTTGCCTGAGACTCGCTAGTACCAGCTTAGGTGGGTTCGTTCATTCCACAGACATTTCCTCGGCATCCCCAGTTCCCATGAACCCAACAGACAGGAATCCCTGCCCGTGGAAAGCTTGTATCCTGCGAGGTAGCCAGATAAACAAATAAGCTGGCACGAAGCGAGCAGTGCTATAGAGGAAAATAAGGCAGGGAAGAGGGGGATGTGGAGGGTGGTGCAATTATTTGACTCCGCACCTCAGCACAGCCACATCTGTAGGGGAAAACCTTATCTCAATCATAGGGTTGCTGTGAGGGCGAAGTGGGGTCATCCTTGTGTAGCTCTTAGCGAGTGCCTGGCTCATGGCTGCCGGTGCCTCCATATTTATTGCAGCCTTACATTTAACAGCTGGGCTGACAGTGATATAATTCTCATTTTATGTGGGTGCCGTTGTAGCTGTAATTTGTTTCCTGTAGGGGTGACTTAGGTTGTGGTAAAGTTGATGGGAGTTTGGGGTGAATTAAATTTTTGTGTTTATTGCTGTTCTTGGCCTCTTGACCACAACATTCAGGAACTAAAGTGAGAACTGACAAACAAGAGAATTGAGAAAGGATCTCCCTACATAGAATATTCTGATTATAATAGTAGTGCCTCCTCAGGACAAAAAGCCAAGCATTGCAAAAGTCTGTGAGGTAGAAACTCGCTGGAAATGTACACAGGCAAGCACAGATGTTTGTTGTCACTAGTTTATATTAGTAAAAACCTAGGAAATAAGCCATCTTGCCTTCCCTGGGGAAATAGAGGAAAAACATATGTTACAGTTACAGGAAGGAGTAGTTTTACGCACGTAGTAGTTACAATGAATTAGCCGGAGCTGTATGAATGGCTCGAAAACATTTTGCAGGGGGAGGATAGGATATGAAACTAATTAAAACTACCCCAAACAAACTTTACACCGAAGGTAGATAAAAATGTCTCCATGTGAACTATATAAAAATGTCCTGGAAGTGAGGGTGGCGAGT